AACAAGAAGTTGAATTTAAATAAAACTTTGGAAATTTCTCTTCACAGAAAAGTAACTCTAAATATGTGATGCAATGAAAGTTAACTGCTGAGCTTCACTGCAAAGTTATGGAATGGCATTCTTCTGCTCTGTAACAATTTGGCTCGTTGAACCTGAGTCAACTTTGAAAGAACAACTGGCTTGCCCCTCCATTCACTTTGCCTTTTCTCCGTAATCCTGTAAACTTATTTTCATTAGATGCATATTCAATATTCTTTTGAAAGTCATGATTGAATCTGCTATCACCACCCTTTAACCTGATGCTTTTAAACATTGAAATATGGAGTAAGCATGCAGGAATAAGCAATTTGATCCCTCGAACCTGCCCCGTTATTCAATGTGATCATGGCTGATCATAAAGCTCAATACCCTAATTCCACTCTCCTTGGTCCCTTTAGCCACAAGTTATATGTATCTCCTTGAAAACACACTTTCTGTGGCAGTGCATTTCACAGGGTCACTACTGTCTGGGTGAAGAAATTTGTCCTCATTTCAGTCCTACCCCTTAGCCTTAAACTGTGACTTCTCATTTTGGACCCCCAACATCAGCAACATCCTCCCTGCATCTAACCTGTTCAGTCCTGTTTTAAAAAAAAAAGTTATAGGTTTCTGTGAGATTCCCTCTTGTTCTTCTAAAGCCTGAACTTCTGTGATGTATCACTTCCTGTTGTAAAAACATTTTTTTCTCATGTTTGGATTTTTATTTTTTGCAAATCACTGATTCTGCAACTGTTAATCATTCAGTCCTAAAGAGATCCCAATGCATAGAGTTGGTTCGAAGAAGCATTTTAACTGCTCAGTTTTACAATGCAGGAAGATTGAAGCTGGGTCAGTCAGGTGTGGGCATCCTTGTCTCATAACAGATGCAATGAAAAATATCTTTTTATATAAAATTAGTGCATTTACACAACATGAAAGCAGCTCCAGTCCTCAATCTTAAATTTTAGTTTTAAAGTTCTTCACTAAGTATTCTGACCATTTGCCACTCAATCAGAAGTTTAGCTGACCATTGAGTACCAGTTACCTGCCATGATAAAGCTTGCATGCATGTTTTAAAATAACACAATAGTGCATGAGTACAGATTATTATTTTTGTTGCAGTGGGATAAAAAGGGTTTAGAAATTTTAGCTGAATCTTCTGAATAAATATACTCCAGCTTTGCAAGGCAGTGGCCAGCTGTTAATTGCATTGGCATTCTTTCAGCGATGATTGGGTTTGGACTTTCACTTTTACCACTTTGTCTTGTGCAGCCATGTTATTTATTGCAAATGTCAAAAGATATATTGTACTCCCCGATATCTGCCAACATAACCTGTTTGGGAATTATTTGACAAGGCATTACTTTTTAATCTTTTATACATCTGTTATTGAAAGCTCGAAAACCGCTTGTTGGAACCTGTAACAGCTTTGGTAATCTCTATCTTTGAGTGGAAGCTAAGTTTAATTGAAATAAACTGGATCTTAAATACTAATGTCTAAAAATAGATAGTTGCTTTCTATAAAAATAATTTGCTGCCTTGCTGCAGAGGAACTGTGTGAACCAGTCACTGTTCTTCTTCCCCTAACGTATTTTGAATTTGGTTCCTGTGTTATTGTAACATCTTCAAGCGGCTGTGTTTATCAGAAATATTAGTCAAGGAGCAAATGAGTTGATAAGAGGTTATACTGTGCATAGAAATCCTCTAAGATTTTAAGATTGCTATCTACAGACTAAATTAAGAATGACATGGACATTTTTTTTAAAGGTGTTCCTCGTGGAGCAAAACATATCAGCCTTTATTTTTATCCCTTCGCCCCCTCCCCTTTTCCACCAGCATATAAGGAAGAGTTGGGTGAAGTGTTAAAATTTGGAAAAATGAAATCTTGTTTTCAATTGTCTGTCCCACTTAAAGCAAAATGGGCACCTATTTAAGATGTAAAAAGTCATGGGCTGATGTTGCCCACTTCGGTGTTAATAGCAAGCTAGGGGAATTCCACATTGTCAGCTTCCTGCCAAGAGAATCATGGTGGGTGGGGGAAGAAGAGGGGAGGAGCCAACTGTCCAGAAGAGGCCAAGATAGATGTGAACTCTTTTTTTTTTTTTTTCCCTCTCTATTGTGCAAGAGCAGAATAGTTCTCCCCAGGTGTTCCCTAAATATTTCCCGCTCCTCCACATACTGAGAGCATGAATGGGGTGTTACTATTTTTCACTGAGTTATGCTAGCCTGGTAGCTCTCCTGTTACTATTGCCTTCCCCTGATTTGTGTGCAGCAACTCGTGGAGTCAGCTTGGGTGAAACGTTAAGAACATTGTTTCTTCAGTTGTCTTGCTATTATGACACCTACTTCTTGAGCCCCCCTTATTGACCAAAAAAAAGCTAAGATATCTCATTGAGAGGAGGCCTGCACTAATCCTGGAGACTAGGATTTGTGTTACATATCTCTCCTCTAAGGGATACCTAAGCTAGGGGTTTCTTGGACTGGGAATAAAATATTATTGTTTGAAGTATTAAGAGCTCATGTCTTTGGTGACTGACATAATTGAGTGTAAAATTGTCATGTGTCAGAAAATACCTTGTTGACATCTCTATGCCTTTCTACGACTCTTTGCTATTTTCAGTTGGGAACATTGAGTATTTAGTGCAACGTTGCCATGTTTGCAGAAATTTCACCATTTCTGTTCCTCATGACTTCAACTATACTGAAATGTGCTCTGGTAAAGATACTTTTACATCTGCTTTTGTGATATATATTTTCATATGCAATACTTGTGAATTGAAATTACAGAAAACTAGTCAACCCATTGTGCCTGAGCTGCTGCAGGATCTTTAACTGGAGCTAATTATTCTCAAACTAGATTTCTTTTTCAAATGTTTGTTCAATATAATTTAAAATTGTTATAGTCCGTTTCAATGTCCACTTGTAACTAACTCGAAATATATTCTAACTCCTAATGTTCTCTCCATTAATAATTCTTATTGATTTGCCAACCAAAGCTTTGGCTGTTTCTAATCCATTTTTTTGAAAGCCACCTTGGATTTCCTTAACTTCTCAAATCTTTTACCATGGTTGTAATATTCCTTAAATAATATTGCATGTGGAGCTGCAGAGAATGTTCCATCTGTGGACTAACTAATGGCTTGTGCAATTTTAACATGAATCAATGCCACTTATTTGGCTAGACCTCTGGTATGCTTCCTCAGTCTGCCATGCTGGTGGTTTGGTTTTAGGTGCAACCTTTTATATAATTCTTTCTATGCCTATTTCCAAGTAACTTTTTGATAAGTAGGAACAGAAATGTTTTACATGGCATCCTGAGACACTATTATTGACATCTTCCCAGTCCAAATTTCAATATTTCATAATGCAGGTATCCTCTGTAATTTGTTTTCCAGGGAAAAATTATTCTAGGCCAGGTTCCCTTTTATCCAAAAGGAATTAAATAAATTCCAATTCATTATTTTCAAAGCATTCTCTAACCTTCAAGTCATTTACTTGTCCTTCATTACCTATCCTCCATATGGACTATTCAACATTTTGATAAAGAAACTAGTCCTGGATGCATTCTAAGAACCTTTCTTCATTTAATCACTGATCTTTGTCATAAGATCACCTAACTTAAATAGTTATGTTCCTCATTGTTAATATTGCAAATGCATTTTGCCTACAGATCTTGTTTTTGATTTGTTTGCCACTCCTGTGTATTTTGCCCCCTTGGATATGCTTTTTATAATGCAAAAAATTTCTCCATTTTCATTGCAACATCACAGAAAAAGCTTATTGGTCTTTATCACGTTGCTGTTTGTGGGATCTTGCTATGTAGAAAATGGCAAAAGTATTTAATCAACTTTTAATGTGAGTTGGGAAGTCCTTGTCGTAGAAGCGATCATAAAATCCTTGTAGCACGGAAGCAGGCCATCTGGCCTATTGAGTCCATACCGACCCTCCAAAGAGCATCCCGAATGTTCTTACTATTCCCGTTGGTGCGTTATGATCTTGTTTATTCTGCACATGTGCCAAACATAACTGCTAATTATTGAGCTAGAAGATACTGCCCTTGGTCCATGCTGCAGAAATCCCTGTCTTAGCCACCGGCTCCTGCCCGCTTCCTGAGCATTGAGTCTGAGCCAAGCATTTCCCATAGACCCTGAGCTGAGCTCTTCATCCTGTATCTCCTCTATGACCAAAACCATCAACTTCCACTTCTGTAACATTGCCTATCTCAACTTTATTGTCAGCAAATGAGCTGAAGCAATACTCTCACTCTGCTTTATCACCGAAATACTCAACTATCCAGTACTCTTCTGGTCAGTCTCCTTTCTGTAATCTTGAGCATATTTAAAACTCTGCTGTCTGTATGCTAACTTGCATCATCCATCACCTCTGAGATACTGTAGTCCAGCAGAATGTCTATTTTTAAATTCTGATTGCTGTTTTCAAATCTTTCCAAGGTCTCGCCCCTCCCTATCTCTCAGTAACCTCTTGCAGCCTGGCAACCCTCTGATAAATGCATTTAACCTCATGAGTTTTGGTTGGTCCATTGTTGATGTCCATCTCTTCAGCTGCAGAGACTCTAACCTCTGGAATACCATTCCTAAATCCCTCTGCCTTTCATGTCCTTTCTTTAAAATGCTGCTTACAAACCTAATTCCTTGACACAATGTTTATCACCTGTCCTATTATTTGCTTTAGGGTTTGTGTCAAATTTTGTTTGAAAGTGCTCATTTGAAGCTATTAACGTTGCTCTATATCGAAAATTGTTGTTTGCTCTGTGCCCTTAATGCATGATGAAATTTATGGAAAGGGGTTTATTATGTAAAATGTTGCTACTGCAGTTTTATCAAAATAATCTGCAGCTGATTGATTAGAACTTTTCTAACATCTGTGCAGTATTTGTGGTGTTTTGGCAATATTTGCAAGCTCTGGTGTTTCAGTGCTGATGCCAGTTTGAGCAGTGACATTTTCTCCCTTTTCGAACGTAGATTCGTAGAAGACGTCTTGCACGGCTGGCTGGTGGACTGACTTCACAACCTACCACTCCACTTACCTCCCCACAGCGAGAAAACCCACCTGGAGTGTCTACAGCAACACCAAACATATCTCAAAATATGGCCCTAAGTGTACAGAGCATGACTCCTGCCACATCTCCTATTGGAGCAACAGGTATGGGAGTGTGAGGTAGTTGGATCTGATTGAGCTAAATTGCTAGCAGTTTCGCAATTGGCTAGTGGGGTTTAATCTTGATGTTCATTCTGTAAAAGCAATACACAAAAGCTGGAAAATTTTTCTTTCCCGTTTATCTCAAGGTTGTAAGCTGATGGCTTCTTGTGGCAGTCAAGTACACATTTTGTTTATGGTCAAGTTATAAACTTTCCTATCTGTTGATCCAAATTAAGGCAGGAGGTATATTTAATAACAATGCTGCATTTAATATGTCGCTATTTGTGGCAGAAACTGGGGAGTTTCAAACATGGATTGTAGAAAGCCTGTCATGACCTGAAATAATTGAATTTTAACAGGGGCAGGAGAGTTTTCCATCATGTCAAATGCTTTATTTAAAACATTGTTTCTGTTTGCTGATTATATCTACTTCATTGTCGCCATTTTTAAAGCTTCGTTTTTCATTAAATAATTTGGTTTTCTGTGTGTACAACAAAACCTGAATCAATGTATGCTCCCAAAAACATAATCAGTGGTTTGTACAGTGGGTCCAGTTCCTAGCAGTTCCGAATAGCTTGTATTGTTAAATAAACAAGTGGCATTCTATAATTCTGGACACCTGCAGAGTCCAAATTGGAGCAAATGAAAGTTTATAACTTGACCCCAAACAAGTTTACAAAAAAAGGAAGATTTATATAGATTGCAGGGTCTCTAGGTGCTATGTGTCCAAACTTTGCAACTTAAAGTATAGGACATGACTTGACAGCACAATTTGAAACCTACAGACTGAATATATGGTTGTGATGGTTATTCTTGCCAATGGATAGATGCTGCTGAATTCATTTTATCCCTCTTTTGGTATCAGGGTTTGATTCTGCTCCACTCCCTAGAACTGTGATGTCCACAGGTACCCAAGGTTGTATTTCCCCTTCCCTGCCCAAACTTTGACCAGCATGTAAACCCCACGCCCACCAAATAAAACATTCTTCCTGCAGCTGCTGTCCCTGCATTTAGCAATGTTTGAATCCCCCTTGCAGTTGTTATCACTATGTATAGTGACCATATTGAAAAGCGGGATGCCTACATTATTAAAAAAGGCATGTTCATAACCTGTCCTTGGATGGTCCACACTTTACAGGCTTGATTGTGCTTTAATTCACTTGTTGATTTTGAATCTCTTCTCTATCCTTTTTTTTAAAAATCCAACAGTTAAATGTATTTTCACCAAGGGTGTAGTTATTTTTATTGTACTGGTGCTAACAGACAAACGTTAGAGTTTTTGAGAAGATTTGTAGCTCGGGTTGTGGATTAGGTTGTAGACTTGCTTGCTGAGCCAGTGCGTTTGGTTTTGTCACCCTGCTAGGTGACATCGTCAGTGCTTCTCCAGTGAAGCGTTGGTGTTCTGTCCCGCTTGTTATTTATGTGCGTCGGTTTGCTGGGTTGCTTGGCATTACTTCGGTTCTGTTTCTCAGTGGTTTGTACAGTGGGTCCAGTTCAACGTGTTTGTTGATGGAGTTCTGGTTGGAATGCCAGGCCTCCAGGAATTACCTGGCATGTCTCCGTTTGGTTCGTGCTATTATGGATGTGTTGTTCCAGTCAAATTCGTGTCCTTCTTTGTCAGTGTGTATCAAGACTAGTGAGAATTGGTTGTCTTTTGGTGGCTAGTCGGCGTTCATGTATCCTTATTGTCAGTCGTCTTCCTTGTTTGGCCTATGTAATATTTTTCAAACATGGAAGAAAACTGACAATAAGGATACACGAATGCTGACTAGCCACCAAGAGACACGATCAATTATCACTAGTCTCGATATACACGGACAAAGAAGGACACAAATTCGACTGGGACAACACATTCATAATAGTATGAGCCAAACACAGAGATGCCAGGGAATTCCTGGAGGCCTGGCATTCCAACCAGAACTCCATCAACAAACACGTTGAACTCGATCCAGTGTACAAACCACTGAGAAACAGAACCGGAAAGTAATGCCAACCACCCTAGCAAACCAAGGCATATAAGTAACAAGAGGGACAGAACACCGACGCTTCACCGGAGGCGCACTGAAGATGTTACCTAGCAGAGTGACAAAACATCTGCAATCAAACGCACCAGATTGGCGAGCAAGTCTAAAACCTCAACAGACAAAGGTAATTGAGAATTTTTTTCTCTTCCAAAAGTCAGGTTGCTGATAACTTAAAGCAAATTGGTACATGAACCTATAACCAGTGGAGTGTTGAAGTGAAAAGGTTTAATTTGGTTTTTATCCTTGACTAAGATCTGTCTTGGGAACTGTCGTACCTGGCACGTAGAACTTACTGAGCTGACTGCAATCTAGTATTAAAAGTATTTTGATTTATTGAGATCAATAGCTGGTAATAGGATTAAAAACAAGATTTTAAAACAAAACAGTTTGTTTTGAAATGTTACCACTTCTGTTGAAATGAGGTGGCCAACTCAGAACTGTGGAACCAATTTTGATGTCATGAAGCTGATCTAAATCATTCTAGTAGTTCAAGTTGCCATAGAACTTAACCATTATTGTTCTTTGTTTTTAAGGTGGCCTGAAATGAAAATGCACATCATAAGTCCTGTCTAAATAGCACTAGTTGATGCAGTGGCTCAAATTATTTTCATGAATTTAGATGGATAACATTTTTTTTGGATTAGGAAATCAGTGGAATGTGTTTTTGATCCCTAGCTTGTTGCCACTTGACTTACCCACATCAACATGCTTGTACTTACCTTCAACACACCACCTTCCCGTATTTTCCACCATCTCTGGTCATTCATCTAAGTATTATAAGACTCCGGTTTGATAACACAAATGTTTAAATAATGTTCGCCTCTCACCGTTCATCTGGCAAAGCATGAAAATTTTGTGGGCCCTCTCTTTTACTTGTTTGAAATCCCAGTGACTATATGAATTTCTGGACTTTGGCTTTGTCTTTAATACTTGGGAGATTTGTTGCTTCACTGATGGGAAGTGAGTGCTGGGAATTGAGCCCTGCTTCTACCAGCCATTAGCTGTTTCAAAGTGTATCTATTTTATTTAATTACCAAAGCAGTCAATTTGTTTCTTTTTAATTAACGATTGTATCCAGAACAAAAGAGGCTTGCAGCAGGTTTCTTCAATAAACACAAAAATAACTTGTTTATTATAAGCAAGCTTATTCTTTCAAAACTGACAACTAAATTACTATTTGGAACTGATCTATATCCTCTTAATCCCAGACACACAACTTCACATATTTGACCAGACAGAACAATTCTGTAGAGTTAATGTGTCCTTTTTTTTTTAAGAAGGCACATGGAGGTTTGGTGAAATATCCTGGTGAGCTACACATCTGAACTCAAAAGGTTAGAAAAATGGGAGACTTGTTACAGACCAGTCAATTTCCACTCGTTGAGATCACAATGTGGAAAGCCATAGAATCAACAAGATCTCCAAATCAGATTTCAGTTCAATTAGAAGTGACAAATCAGCTTCCAGCATTTAAGAGGAATTTAAAGGTATTGATCTCAGGAACAATAAGGTTTCCAGAAGATTCTTTGTTGAGAGAGATCTGAAAAGCTTGTCCTGTTGTACAGTTTAGAGACAAAAAAACTGCAAATGCTGGAATCCAAGGTCGACAAACAGGAGGCTAGAAGAACACAGTAGGCCAGGCAGCATCTGGAAGAAAGGAGCAGTCAACGTTTCTGATATTACCCTTCTTCAGGACTGGATGTGGGGTTACCTCCTTCCTTCCATTCCACCTTCTGACCCCCGCTTTCAGCCTCCAACTGACTTCGTCCATCCCATCAACCAACCAGGTCATACCTACTATCAGTGTCGACCTATCACCACCATTCCGCTACATCCTCAAACACTTCTGCCAACTCCAATTAGACTCCAGAAGCTGGAACATCATCTACTCCCCACTCCTGCCTTTCTCAAGGACCAATCCCTTCGCCACTCCTTAGTTCGTGCCACACTCCCCACCTGCCTGGTACCTTACCCTGTAACAGTAAAAGATGCAACACCTGCCCACACACCACCTCTCTCGCCTCCATTCAGAGCCCTAAACAGTCCTTCCAAGTGAGACAGAGCTTCACCTGCATCTCCTCCAACCAGTCTATTGCATCTGGTGCTCCTGACGTCGTCGTCTTTGCGCCGGTGAGACCAAACGTAGACAAAGTGACGGTTTCGCCGAGCATCTTTGCCTGACCCGTAACAGCCAACCTAACCTCCCGGTCACCACCGTTTCAATTCCCTGCCCCACTCCTCCGATATGTCTGTCCTCAGCCGCCTCCAATGTCTCAGCAACTCGGAAAACAGATTTGAAGGACAACACCTTATCTTCTGTCTGGGCACCCTACAGCCTGGAGGACTCAACATTTGAGTTTTCCAATTTCAAATAATCTCGCCACCCATCCCCTGCTCCATTTCCAGCCCCACTCCTGGTGCTGTAAATAATGTAATTTCTTTACGAAGGTGACGTTGCTTAATCAATCCTGGCAAGCCTTTTGAACCTATTTAATATTCAAGCAGGCTGAACGTTTGCACTTTTAAAAAGTGTAATACTGCAAAATGTGAAGTTATTTATTCTTACCTTAACTGAACTCTTTACCTAATTACTTTTTTAACTTGTTGACGAAATACTGGGATACGTTATGTGCAGCTTGGTTACATCTGTCTTTTGGCGTTGATTGGCAGATGGACACTGTGCATTAAATGCAATTCTCATGTGTAACACCAAGAATGAGTGATCGAGTCACTCCTTTATGACGATTTAAGAACTTGAATTCCATCCTGACGGGGAAAAAGAAATTGGCATCAGTAACATTTAGCATGCAGCTGTTGGGATTGATATTAAAAGCTCGGCTGGTTCACCCTTTTGTCTAAGGATACACGCTGTCTTTGCTTCAGCTGAACTGAGACTCTGGTCCCCCTCAGTCCTCATAACTGGCCTTTGAAATAGCAACCCAATAAGATGGTGGTATAAATGATACAAGCATGTACAACTTGCCAAGGACCCCCACTTTCCAAGAATGAATTAAAGGGAAATGTATCCTCCAGCTGTAAGATATCGGACACTGAACAAGTGTGTATTGTCAAAACATTGCATATATTACATGCTAGATATTAAGAACAATGCCACAGGAGATTAACTGGCATGGAATAAAAGATAAAATGTTAAATAAAATATTGCTTTATGAAGAATCGGGAGAAATTTTGCAGAGTTTTCTGCCAGGAAGTTATTTTGGTTCAGTATATTGCAGGACAAACAGCACAGGATCTACAGAAGAAATGTGCAAATCTTGATGTTGGTTTTTAAACTGTGTGCACCGCATCAGTGATGTTTCTCCCCAGTTCATACCATACTTACTGACTGGCTTGAGTGCCAACCATTACCAAAAGTGTTTACGGTTTCTTTGATTTGCAGCTCTGTCCTTTATTTTTTCCTATTTTTTCCTTTACTGACCTGATGTCCTTTTGGCTGGATTGAATTTACCTGACTTTCAATCGGCTGAAAAGCTGTGAGTGGAATAAACCCAAGGTGGAAAATCCCTACTGCGCTCCTGACAGATCCACAAAGTTTCTGTTTGTCTCATGAGAAATGCATTCCAATCCTTTAAACACAGTTCAGAGTTTAGCTGAGTAGGAAGCGAGGGTGAGGAGGGCCTCTCCAATGTTTGCAGCTGACTATTGCTTATTCAGCTAAAACTGCTGATCTTGTTAGGCCTGCTAACTCATTTGTAAGCAAATATTTGGAAACCCAACTCCTGCTCATGATAAGATCTGGATCCAGATCTTATCATGCGCAGGAGTTGGCTGGTCAACCATCAATTGTCCCCTAAAGCATTGCAGGTATATCTGATTCTAGTATTAGGTTACTAAATCTGCTGTTGCGAATTAACTCAATTTTAACCTTCCATTGCGAGGCATGTCATTCAAAGTCAACTTGACTGCTGCCTTGATTCTGGCCATTGCATTGAGGGAGAATAGGTATTAGAAAAGTGATAAATGTGCGTTTGGGCCTTTGTGACCAGCAGATACATGAAACTGCATAGTGAGTACTACAATCCTACAACATGTCCACACCAGAGGTACAAAGCTTCAGAATAAACTAGTTACCTCTATGAAATCTAATCAAGGTAACTACTGAATGCTGTATACATGGACACAGTTTTATATCCACCCTCCATGCTGGAACAGCTGCTGTACCAAACTACCTTTTTCTCATCTACTGAATAATATATTTTTGCCATTAGCATGCTGGAAGGACCATACAGGATGTACTGGATAACTTGACGTCTAAATGTTTGAAGTACATTGCTGCATATCAGCATAACCCCAGATGGCTTGAAGGATTTTTGGTAGAGATGTGCCTGTCACAAGACTGATATGCCTTCCAGGGTGCTAAGTGACAGGTCAATGTAAAGGAGACCTCTTGACTAAAAGCAAAATGCTGCATAATTCTGGAAATCTGAAATAAGAACAAAGTGCTGGAAAATTTCAGGTTTGGCAACATCTGTGGAGAGAGAAATGAAGTTAATGTTTCAAGTCCAATATGCACTCCTGTTGTTCTGTGTGCTCGTTTAGATGAATTACCATACCCCGAGATTTGTCGGTTTTAGCCATCTCACTCCGGTAGAATATTTTGTCATTCCTTTGTTGGGAACTACTACACAGTCACCTTTTTCCCTGAGCCTATTTGTCTCTTTGCTGAAGCAGCTTACCGGAGTAAAGCCAATATCCACTTACTAAGTCAAAGGTGATTAAACCTCAAGTCTGCGTTGATTTCCTGTTTTCAAACATCACAAATTGATCAAGTTTGAAGTGAGGTTTGGAGTTATTGTTGATAAATCAACATTTGCCATTCATTTGAAATTTAAACTCTCCAGTGGTGGAGTTGACATTTATTATGAAAGCAAAAGGTGGTGGAGTATGCTTCTATTCCCCTCCACACGAAGGAATTATACCATGTTGTCTCGGTGCAGCACTGTTGGTATTCTGATTCCTCCAGTTAGGAGTAAAAAATAGATACAACATTTGTTTTAATGAAAAGCTGCTGCTTTTTAAAGACTGAAATAAAGTTTAATTTCTGAGTGATTAGTGTTTGAATTCTGCCTGTCTAGCAAGCAGTGGAGGCTATATCGTTGAATATATTCACAACTGAGTTACTGAGGGAGTCTTTGATCAACAGTAGAGTCAAGGGTTATAAGAGATGGGCAGGAAAATGGAGTTAAAAGCAGATCAGGACAGCCATGGTCTTAATAAATGTTAGAACAGGATCGAGAGGCCAAAAGGCCTATTGCTGTTTTTATGTCCTCTTCCAGTGTTGGATACGTCTGTAACTGAATGTCATCTGTTTTATCAGGTGTTGCACATAGAAGCCAGAGCAGTGAAGGGGTGAGCTCACTCAGCAGTTCCCCATCAAATAGCCTTGAAAACCAGTCTCAGAGTCTCTCCCGATCTCAGAGTATGGATATCGATGGTGTGTCCTGTGAGAAAAGGTAATCAACCTGTATATTGACAGGCTTCAAATCTGTATATGTCCTCTGTGTGTAATCCATTAAAGGTTAATTTGAAGAAGCAATGATTGAACAGGAGGGTTAGAAAATTAAAAGCTGCTTTCTCAAAACAAAACAATTTTGCCCATGAGATAGAGTTAAGGAGAATCCAAACAGATTCTATAAGTACATTAAGGGCAAAAGAGTAACTAAGGACAGAATAGTGCCCCTTAAAGATCAACGTGGCCCACAAGAGATTCGTAAGATAATAATGAATATTTTGTGTCAGTATTTACTGTAGAGAAGGATGTTGAAACTAGAGACCTTGGGGAAATAAAGTGATGCCTTGAAAAGGGTTCATATTACGGAAGAGATGGTATTGGAAGTCTTAAAACACACAAAGGTAGCTAAATCCCTGGGACCTGTTCATGTACTTCCTGGAATTTTATGAGAATCTAGGGAAGAGATTGCTGGGCTATCATCGACAGCCATGGGTGAGATGCTGGAAGCCTGGAGGTTGGCTGAAGTGGTGCCATTATTTAAGAAAGGTGGTAAGGAATACCCAGGGAACTATAGACTGATGAGCCTTCCGTTAGTGGTAGGTAAGTTGTTGGAAGGGATTATGAGGGACAGGATTTACATGCATTTACAGAGGCACAGACTGATTAGGGATAGTCCAATGGATTTGTGTGTGGGACATGTCTTACTGACTTGAGTTTTTTTGAAGAGGTGACAAAGATGATTGAAGGCAGAGCAATAGACATGTCTGTGTCGACTTCAGCAAAGGGTTCAACAAGGTTCTGCATGCTAGACTGGTTAGTAAGGTTAGATCACGTGGAATCCAGGTGGAGCTAGCCAATTGGACACAAAATTGACTTGAAGGCAGAAGACAGGGTGGTGGTAGAGGGTTGCTTTTCCAACTGGATGCCTGTGACCTGTGGTGTGCCACAAGGATTGGTGCTGGGTCTGCTGTATTATGTCATTTTATGTAAATGACTTGGATGTGAATTTCAGGGGTATGGTTAGCAAGTTTGCAGATGACACCAAAATAGGTGGTGTAGTAGACAGTGAAGAGCATTATCACAGAGTACAATGGGACCTTGATCAGATGCGCTGATGGGCCAAGGAGTGGCAGATGGAATTTGGTTTAGATAAGTGAGGTGTTGCATTTTGGTAAGGCAAGCCAGGGCAGGACTTATACAGTTAATGGTAGGGCTCTGGGGAGTGTTGCTGAACAAAGAGACCTAGTTCCGTGAAAGTGGAGTCATAGGTAGACAGTGATGAAGAAGGCGTTTGGCGCGCTTGCCTTCATTGGTCAAAACATTGAGTGTAGGAGTTGGAATGTAATGTTTCGGCAGTATTGGACCTTGGTGAGGCCACGTTTAGAATACAGTGTTTGTGTTATAAGGGGACATGAATAACCTGGGGCTTTATTCCCTGGAGCGTTGGAGGCTGAAGGTGACCTTTATAGAGGTTTATAGAATCATGAGGGGCATGGATAGGGTGAACAGCCACGGTCTTTTTCCTTGGGTGGGGGAGCCCAAAACTAGAGGGTATAGATTTAAGTTGAGAGGGGAAAGATTTGAAAAGGGACCTGAGGGGTAATTTTTTCAGATGAGGATGGTGTGTGTATGGAATGAACTGCCAGAGGAAATGGTGGAAGTGTCTAAAATTATGACATTTAAAAGGTATCTGGATGGGTATATGAGTAGGAAGGGTTTGGAGGGACATGGGCCAAGTGCTGGCAAATGGATCTAGGTTAGTTTCGGAAGTCTAGCTGGCGTGAACTAGTTGGACTGGAGGGTCTGTTTCCTCTGCTGTATGACTCGATGACTGAAGATTTTGGCTCACAAATTTGTAATTCCAGATAAACAATGTGCTAATTATCAATGCTTCCTTACGGCAGATTATTTTAATATGTTTTATTGAAGAGCTTGAAGTAAATCTGTAAATGATAAGTTTTGGTAACTGCATGAATCCACAATTTAAGATCATCTAAGAACTTGAATATTATGTGGTAAATGTAATAACATTGGAGTGAATGGCAGTTGCAGGCTTTGGCAGAACATTAATATCAACAATACTTACTGCAACAGAGAAGGGAAAACTGAGCTGTAGACAGTGGTTTCTAAGTTAAAGTTGCAACAAGTTAATAGTTAATTACTACATGGATTAAGTAATGTGTTTCTACTCTAAATAGCATGTCTCAAGTGGATGTAGACTCAGGAATTGAAAATATGGAAGTTGATGAGGGTGATCGGCGGGAAAAACGGAGTTTGACTGATAAGGTACTGTTACTTATGCTTGTGAATTTTGTTACCTAATTTTGCAAGGGCTTGCTATTAATGGCAAAATTTTAATGTGTTTAAAGCTGTGTTGTCAAATTCTCCTTTTCCTTTCTTAAGTCTGAGATTTGAGTATGGTTCAGGGAAAACTAAACCTGTTTTTGAGCTGTGGAAGATTGCTAATGAATAATGAATAAGTTTAAATCTCAGCTCCCATTTGAGTTTCAACTGTTTGAAGAGTTTTGAGGTCCTGACTGCTCTGCTTGGTGATATAGCAGTTGAATGGTTATGTCACTTGGATGTGGGAGAATGAGCATTTGCTTTTGTCATCTTTAAAATAGCAAACCCTGCTGATCTTGATGCAGAGTGTACTTTGAATAGACACATTTTGCGCCAAAAATTTATGTAGAAATGTTTACCTTTAAAGTCATAAACTTTCAGTGAATAAATTTCAATGGCATTGCTCATAGCAGATTTAACTTATCAAACCTATCATAATGAAATATTGATGGAAAAATGTGAATTATTGGATTGTACGTAAACCCTGGAAATATTAAATACCTTTTGTACTTGATTGGATAGATTTGCCTGAAATTGAATCTTCTGTGCAATTAAAGTTTTTGGACCTGATTATTACCCCATTAAATGTTTTTCACCAGGGTGTGAGATGGAACTACAATCGAGATCTTTTGTTTTAATCAATGTTTTCTGGCACTTTGATTCTGTCTAATGACTTACATTTTCAACTTTTTGAACGAGCAACTCTGCTATTGTGGATACTTGCTAACTGCGCCCGTCAATCAGTGACAGCTGCTTTTGTTTTTAGGAACCCTCATTGGGCTCAGATGTGTCAGAAGAACAAGCACTTTTGCTGATATGTAAAATCTTCCGGGTCTCTTGGAAGGAGCGTGATAGGGATGTAATCTTCTTACCTGGTCTGGCTGCAGAGTTTAAACAGAATGCAAAAGAAGGTGAGAACTAGCAACAGTAATGACTTGTCTGGAGTAACCTTTTCACAAAGCCCTTTTCAACCAACGACAGTATTCAAGGGAGATTGGAAAAGTCACACACTTCCTTTTTGTTTGTGTCTTGCCTGTCATACCAGTTGTTTGTTTGATGTCAGATTTCTGTACGCCACACTGTGTTTAAGCTGTTTCTGTCCTGCATCCCCCTGTTTTAATAAATGTTTAGCATCTAGGAGCACATTTGCTGTTCACACATTTGTAATAGAACATGTATTGTGTGGACTTCTCCAGTCTCGGGGTAAATATTGACTTGTAACTAAATCTCCAGCTAGCTAGTATTAAAGTAAATTGCAGTGTTCATTTGTTGAGGGGAAACTATCTCCTCAGTTTTTCCTGTAGGATTAAGTAAGAGTAATCTGATCTCTAGCTTGAGAAGCATGAAGTTGCGAAGCAGCTGAGCAAATGAGGTGTGAGAAATATACTAACTTTAAAGGAATCACATTCAATATTGCCTGTTAGTGGACTTTTTTTTTGTTCTTTTAGTTTTTTCAAATTGGAAAGACTTGATCGGCCAGATTCTAATGGAGGTTCTGATGCTGTCCACTCAAATGCCGGAAGACAACCCATTTGCCAGTTTGACTGCCACCTCTCAACCTATTGCAGCAGCTGCAAGGTCACCTGACAGGAACTTGCCTCTTAACCCTCCATCGAATCATGGAACAAGTCCGATGTTTTGCAGCCCAGGTTCTTTTGGTGCCGGTTCTTTATCGAGGTAAGTATAATAAAAGTCCTGATGTTTTCTGGTCTGTTCAAAAATTTACAAGTAAATTAAAGATGTGGAGTGGTATACATCTTGTGGATTTTTAAAAATTAGAATAAAAATATCAAAAATGGCAAAACATGGGAGATGGTGTAGTGAAATAACCAATTGCAATTTTCAAACTCTTTGTTACTCTCTGCAAGTCTTCTACAGATGACTATTCATGATATTGGCCATTTTTGTAATTTGAAACCTTATTTGTAGAAGAATTTTAAAGGCTTTTGAAAAAGAAAGCTTGTGTATTCCGCTTTAATCTTTCTGATTAACCTTTTTCTCTTTGTGATTTAAATTTGCTGAATCTGCCTTTTCTTGCTTCACTTTTATTGTTTAAAATTTTGTCATCCCATCCATTGACTGTGATTTAACTACTCGTTTTTTCTAATAGCTAAAGATGTGGGTGTGATTAATAATTGTCCACTGGAAAAACCTCTTATTGACTTGCTGCTGGACTTTTTTCCTGATTGATATTTCCCATGTAATGGTGCACTTCTTCATTTACCTAATTGTTAACACAAAGAGCTTTATTTCTTTTGGAGAATGTGGGAATGTCAAGTGCTCACATTCCTAATTTGATGCAATATTGTACCATTTGACTCCAGTAATTGGCAAAATTACAATATGAAATAAGTATGCATCACATGATTTAAATCTAGGCATTTTTACAGCAATTGGCTCAGATTTTTAGCATTGCTACAAGTCTAGCAATTATAGGTTTGCGTTGGGTTTCATGCTGTGTTTATATTTTTAGGAAATGATGAGTAAACCACTGCATAACAAGTAATTGAGGTATAATGGACATGTCCTAGTGGTTTGTTTTTTTTTAGAATTTCTTATTTATAAGAGTCACTTCAATTTTTTTTTTAAGGAATGTGAGGGAGAAAGAGATTTATTCTTCATCTATTTTTGTCTGCAGTAGTTTCAGTTGCTGATTAGCTAGTTCCTGTGATGTCTGCTAGCCATGTATCATCATGCATCTGTAGTCCACACTGAGAGGAGGAGCCCATGACACACAACTAAGATTCATGGTAGGAGAAAGGCTGGTCATGAGACAGAATAAAAACTATTGGTTTTTATTCTGATTTGTAAAAATCCATAAATAAGTCACTTCTAAATTAAATTTGTGTTGGGATGCCACTGTATAGGGATTGGTCGGCTCTGTTAGCTGGATGGCTGATTTGTGATGCAGAGTCATTGCCAACAGTGTGGGTTCAGTTCTCACACCAGCTGAGGTTACTGTGAAAGACTCTCCTTCTCGCCTTTCCTAAGGCATGGTGCCTGAGGTTAAACCACCAGTCATCTCTAATGAGAGGGTGATGCTATGCTCCTCTGAGACTATGGCAACTTTACCCGTTATCCTTTTATATTTCATTCTCACAGAATCGGAGTTAATGTATCACACTCTCCATTTTAGTCTTCAGTTGAGGGGACACAACGGATTAATGTAACGGAAGATTTTTTCAAACTGTAGTTATTTTCAGTAACATTAAACATCGTTGAATAAATTCTCCTTGCCAGTCAATTCCTAGGCCTCCAAGTTCTGGGCAATGCATATTTTTGACTTTAAATATACTTGAGGCAGTGTTGAGATACTTTCAACCAACTGTTTCTGATAATGTGGACACAAATTCCTGTATTCTAGAATGAGACAGCTCATTTCATGCAAAACCATATTTCTTCTCCATAACATCACTACTGCAATTTAATATGAAGTATTATCAAAAATATCTTGATGTCGCCCATTAGTTACTTAATAGTTGAAGTAGTGAAGGGGGAAAATAGCACAATCGTAATGATTTAAAATCTACTTTATTGGTGTTTGTGTACCAGTGATGATGTAGAAATAGAGTGTAAGCTTTTGTGCTATTGAATATGAATAAGCTTTTCATGACTACTCTCAAAATGAGCTTATTTTATGATTTCCCATGTATTATAAGAACTTTGCTTAATTCATTGTGACATCATTTGCAGAGCTAATTGGGATTAAATGCTTCCACTGCATTTGACTGCAAATATGTGGAAGTGCAAATGCAGAGCGTTTCTACTGAAACTCTAGTATTACAAACATGGTAATTTTTTTCACATGCTGTTTTCATTTTTCTCTCTTCCTTCTTTCTAATTTCTCTCTGTCTCAATATTCTAGTCTATATGGAGCCAGCCCAAGTTCTCGATCCTTTGCAGCAAGCCATCCTTCCAAGATTGCAGGCAGTGCGAATCAGCAGCCTAAGTTTGCAAGCCCTGTTTCAGTGATGCCCAGTTCTCCATGCCAACGTACTATGGTTACTTGTTCATCCTCCACTCAGGCCAGTTCTTCAGGACAGCCATCATTGACCATGAGCTCCCCACCCTTATTCTCAACTTCTCCCAGGCTAAGGAATGTTGGTACAAATCCATTGCCAATCACACCTGCCTCTTCTAGTGCACAAACTGTGGCCAGTAGCCCTTCTTCAATCCAAATGAGTTCTCCAAGGCAACGACCCACCGTAATGGGTCCACCATTATTTCCAGTCACTTCTCCAGCAACTTCCCGTTCTTCTGCACTGAGCCCGCTACCACCTAGGTATTGTGTCAAATTATAAAAAAATCATATTGAGATTTTTAAATATTTTGATATTGGAACATTTTGTTCTAAATTTTGTAGTTTTATTTATGCAAAATATGCAAATTTAAGGTACTATTACAGAAAGTTGCAGGGACACCAATTAAAATTTCAATGCACTTGAACTTTGTTTTAGCATGAGAAATTTAAACTAAGATTTTAAGTTGTTTTCTAACAAGGGCCTCGTGTTTGGAGGGTGCTGAATATAGCAGCATTTCAAAAAAAATCTACTATGCTTGGAGAGTAGATGTGTATGAAGACGATTCTGTGTTCCATAGAAGCCCAAATTCTGCTGATGACAAGATTGAATAATTCTGATATCAGCTCAAGAAACCTAGCCATTAAATGTTTTACTTCCAGCATTCTGCACAGTAATAATAATCAAATACGCGCAAGATGAATGGGATACATTTTAAGTTTGAGGATACAAAACAGCAATATTCAATTGTGAAAGATGTGACTGAGGAAAACTGAGAGGGCAGCAAATAAAGTATCTGATGGGGAAACAAGAGAAGCTTTCATGTATAAATCTGTTGATAAACAGGGACAGATTCATAGAGCAAGCTTAAGAAACTAGTCAAACGTTTTTAGAAAAAAGCATTAAGGTATGAGGAATATAAAGTACATCATGCAAGGAGTCTCTGATGCGTACAACTGCTTTTCTTCCTTCAAATGAAATTGCATAGAATCACTTTTGTCATGATGGGTTGGCTATTAGTTATACAACATCAGACCCCTTCAGTAGTCATGAAAGTTACAGCATGTAGAATTCATTAGTAATGAATTTCATAGTTATAGAAATAACTTTATTGTAGGACTTGATTGTTTAATACACTTGTGCATTACATTTAAGCACAATGCATCAAGCAGAAACAAATTAATTAATCTTGGTCTGTGTGCTAAATATCTTGATCTTCCCTCTGGTAGTATCTACAACAACCCCTTTTCCCTTCTCCTCTTCGCTCTTTCTGATTTACCTGAGGACAGCAGTGATGATGATGACGATGATGATGAGGAAGATGATGTTGATTTGTCTAGTGTCCAATTCGGTTCCAGGTATTGGTTGTACAAGCCTGGCAGCTTTTATTATAACGGGCATGGGTTAAGCATTTAAGTGTGCAACTAACAGTGTGGTTTTGTTTTGGTTTTATAAGTAGCTGCAGTAGGTAACTTGTATTACCTTCACTCCTTTGTTCATTATCACATGTTCTTTCGCTTTTTCTCATTAGTACACTGCTTTGTTTGAGTTTTGAGCTTTTGATTGGTGCTGTAAATGCTGTGCTGGGAAATAGATAGCTGGAGAGTGAACCCTGTTGGTGTAACACAGTTGAAAACACAAGTAAACTTACCAGTAAAAAGTGAAATTCCTTTCCTCTTAGTTGGTAGACCAGATGCAAGGATGTGTACAGCTGCAGTCCCAAATAACACTACCTCCTTTGTTGTTTATTAAATGTTGACTGCTTAATGGTGTGGATTATGATTGCAACACAATGACTTTTCATTCATGATGCTGCATGCTGGGTCTGTAATGTACTGTGCTGGTATTTTGCCCTTGAACTCAAGTAATTTCTGCCACTTTGAAGCAAGTTGAAGTATTGCAGTAACAGATACTCATCTGCAGTCATAGGTATGAAT